GTAAGACACAAAGCCCAGTACTGAGGCTGAGATAGCAGAAATGAGTCGAATACCTTATGTTTCGGCTGTAGGATCGCTCATGTATGCTATGACGTGTACTCGACCTGATGTAGCCTTTTCTTTGAGCATGGTTAGCAGTATCAGGGGAACCCTGGCAAGGCACACTGGACTGCGGTAAAGAAATCTCCTCAAGTACCTACGGAGACTAAGGACTGGGTCCTTACCCTCGGTGGGAGTGAAGACTTGAGAGTTGTAGGGTATAGTGATGCTAGCTTTAGACTGATAGGGATAAGTTCCGCTCTCAGTCAGGCTGGTGTCTTTACCTTAATTGGAGGAGCAATTTCTTGGAAGAGTTCCAAGCAAGAGACAGTGGCTGATTCAACTTGCGAATCAGAGTATATAGCAGCTAGCGAGGCAGGCAAAGGAGGCGAATATGGCTGGAAGAACTTCATTGGAGACCTTGGAGTTGTACCAGCTATTAAAGAGCAATGGAAATTTTCTGTGATAATGAAAGTGCAGTTGCCTTAGGCCAAGAACCAAGGGATCACGGGAGATCCAGACACATCGACAGAAAATACCATTTCATCAGACATCGAATAGAAGAAGGACTCTCGTGGCAAAGAGGGTATCATCGGATAAATCCAGCAGATCCCTCACGAAGGGACTGACTCGGGTTAAGCATCTCCAGCATGCTCGGAGCATAGGGCTGAAGGATGATATTGGATTTAGTAGTAGTTAGATAACCTTGAATATGTAAAGTGTAATTGACATTAGATGATGAATAAAAGGTGTTTTATTTATGGTAAGTAAAGTGTTGCTATCTCTTGTCGATTGTTTACTATATTTCTCTTGCATGTTTTGACTTCCAGAATAATTAGTTTGGTATATCATATTATTCGAACCTCCACAGTCGGTCATATGTCGGAAGTAGGTATGAATCAAGACTGTCATGATTGGTTGCTTGCAGAGTTCTAAGTTGTTGGACATGGCTACAAACACTCATGAGTGCTCATAAGTTCTGAGCATGGACTCAAACCACGCTCACTGGAATCACTTCATGGAATTTATCTCGAGTGATCGGGAGACGGTAATATCATATAAGTCTTCAAACCTAGAGATATGATTTGTTACTATGAGTTGGTTATGCATTGATTGTATGTTAACGCATTGGTAACCTCGATGTTATAAAACGTGCTCTTGGTGTATAATTCAATGAGTAGTAGAACAAACATATGAGTCGAAGTTATCTGTTCCTTCTTTGATTAGAAGCTGATATCTGGGCCCCTCGATGATTTTGTTTTGACCTATGTACCGGGCCCGGTCAGAACTAAGTTGATGTGTTCAATTGAGTTCTATATCAAACAAATCGGAAATCGGGAAACAAAATGCTGGACACGAAGTAAGACACTGTTCCATGTATTTGTCCGGCTGATATCTAGAACAGAGGATTATATGATCACTTATCTGAAATGGCGTACATCATCATCTTCTCAGTTCCGAGAAACCTTGAAAAGGCTACGATTGCTGATCGGTTCCTGAAGTCATACTTGCAGTTTATAGTTAGACTTATCCAAGTGGGAGACTGTTGGATAAGGTGTCTAAGTCCATAACTATTTCTGGTATGTACTTGACCTGACCCGGCATGGTCCATTTGGGTTGCATGGCACCATGCAATTGGATAAACTAAAATGAGAGAAATACCACTTATGGTTTATTAATATATTATAAGTTCTAATATATTAATAATAATATTTAATTAGTTTGATCAAGAATTAATTTAGAATTAATTAAGTGATCAAAAGATAACTAATTAAATATATGGGTAGATTATGTAAATCTTCCATATCTTATATAGTGGGCTAAGAGGCTCCATGGATTATTAAGTTGGGTTCCACCCATAGGATGCTCCATGGATGCTCCATGGGAGTTACAAACCCATGGGTCATGGAAATGAAGAGTCATGACACATTAGGGTTTACATGGTGTAACCCTGATGTGTCAACACTATATAAGAAACCCATTCTCCACCAAAATTGGCTACACATAAGAAACAAGAGGGCTAGAGCCAATTTTGCAAGTGTAAGATTCTCTCAAAGTTTACTCATTTGCATTTGGTGTTGTGTGAAGCATTTGAGGCATCACACTTGGGGTGCTAGACTCACAAGGTTTCAAGGATCATAATCAACAACAAGGTAAGTTATTCTATCTTTCATTCAAGTTAAAAATGTTCCCCATGTATGCTAGATAGGAATATAACCTTGGAATTCAACTTTGCATGATTATTAGACAAACATAGATCCAAGGTTATTAGGGTTGCATGTACACTTAGGAAGTGTTAGAATGCTCAAAACCCATCAATAGCAACAATCTATCAAATCTAAAATAACATCACTACTAAGCATTTGATGATAAGTCTCAATCTTGGTAACAGGAGAAGATCGCCTATTTCCCATGATCAGATTCATCCTCCATGCTCCACCTCTTCACTTTCTTTTAGTCCCTGCAAATCAGAACAAATGTGAAAACCACATCATGTATCAAGGACCTAGGAACGAGTAGATTGTGAGTTATTAGTTTGAATAATGTATATACCTGCTGAAGATGGCTTCACCTTGCCATCCTTGATATCTTGCAAGTACTTGGGGCAACTCCTCTTCAAATTGCCCTTGTCATTGCAATAATAACAAATGACTTCTTTGGGGTCACTAACAAATGGAATGTCTGAACTAGGCTTTGGTTTTGGGACATTGCTATACTACCCAACATGGTCCTTGCCCTTCCAGTTAGTTTTTGGGATCATCCTTCCTCTTCTTCCCTTTTCTTTGCCCAATGGCGAGAATGGGAGCACTAGGAGTAGTGGTAGGGGCTTGATTCTTTCCCTTCATTCCCAACTCAGCAGTCTGCAGCAAGTTGTGGAGTTGGGCCAATGTGGTTTCCATGTTGTTCAAATGATAGGCCAATATGAACTGTTCATAGGAAGTTGGAAAGGAGTTCAAGACCATGTCAATGGCCAACTCCTCATCGAAATTCACATTGAGCCTAACAAGGCGTTCCACGTACCTTTGCATTCTCTGGACGTGGTTGCATACAGATTCCCCCTCTTTCATCTTACAAGCCATGAGAGCTTTGACCACTTCATACTTTTCTTGACGAGCTCTCTTGTGTTACTTTTCCACAAGGTCATTGTTCATCTCATAGGGCCAATAGTCCTCATAAAACCTTTGCAATTCGGGGACCATCGTGGCGACCATGATGCAAGCAACTTTTATTGCATCGTCGTAGTGTTTCTTGTAGGAGGCTAGTTGTTCTAGAGTAGCAGTGGATTCATCGATTTCAACAAGTTCTTTTCTAATGAAATATTATTTGCCCTCGAATCGAAGAGCCATCTTGATGTTTCACATCCAATCATTGTAGTTGGTGCCATCAAAGGTCACCTTGGACACGATAGAGAGTAGTGAGAAACCCAAGTTGTGGGTAGACGATGAAGGAGCAAAAGCATCAGCTGGAATAGACATGTATAAAGAATAGAAGGTAGTTTTAGTTAGATGACAATAACAATCCTTAATATTTAACACATAATAAATATTTGAGGCTAGGACCCAACTATGCAATTCACAATCTAGAATAGGGATGTCGTAATCTAATTGTAAATTTTATAAAGGTAGGTAAAAGAAATTTACTAATTTCAATCAAAATGAAATACCTAGATCTTTTTAGATTCATTGAATTTATCAATGGCATGTTTAATCTCAGATTATGCTCTACTCTTTGTGACTGGGATACCAAGGATCACAAACAAGATGTGAATAACCATACAAATATGCTTGGCACTCTCGATGTCATTTATCATCTCATTTTAATATGTTGGTTAACCACACGCGCTCCAATAATCAATGATAATTTTTTAGATGCCCATTATTACTCTTTATAGTCACTATTAGTGTGTCGGTTAACCACACGCGCTCCACTAACTACTATAAAATATAATGTGCTATTTTATGGATTAAGATACCTTTCATATTTTTCCTAAAGTAACTAAGAGTGGGATTTTAAAAAATGGTTTAGTTAGAAAACAGCCCTTTAATGACGCGCAAACAATGACCCGCGCTGCTAGAGGACACGCATTTGTGCGTGCCCTAAAAAATAATGTCAACTTTGCAAAATTTGAAGGGTAGAGGACACGCATTTATGCGTGCCCTGAAATTAGTGTCCAATAAAAAAAATTACAAACACGGAGGGCACTTTTATCTTAAATGCGTGTCCTCTACAAATGTCGCTTTATAATTTTTACTCAAACGCGCGTTTCTTATTTTAAAATCGCAGGGACTATTCATTTCTAAATTTCTAGGGCTTTTTTGAAGAACGCTCAAAAACACTCACTTACATTGCGTGATCTTTGCAATCGATCCGTTCGGCAACCTCAGGCTCACTTTTTCTCCCTCTCCGACGACCTTAAAGAAATAGAGAACATTTTAGAGGTATCATCGGAATAGGAAAGCAGGGAGAAGGAGCGGAATAGAAAAAGCACAAAATACACTCTCTTCTCTCCCTTCTTGTCTCTCTATTTTGTTCTTTGATATCTCCCTTCCACTAATGCCTCCGCTTCCGTCCCTCATCCACATCCGCTGCCTCCAACCCTCACCGCCAGAGCCGAAAAAGAAGACAAAGAAACGCATGCCCTAACTTCTATCCATTTGGGTGTAAGCTAAGAAAGGCGAAAATTAGGGCAAAAGAATGGAAATTGGTTCTAATGAGATGCATGGATACATTGAGAAGATAATAACATTGGGGTATTACTACTGTGAACTAGATCAATTTTCCACAACCTCCCGAAATTCTCATGTGAAAGAATTGATGAACTAGGGTTTCTCGCTCATTCACAACCTCCGAACCTCACCCCTTTACACCTCAAATCACTCATCGCACCTCCGTCTCTACTGCTTGCGCACCAAATCACCACCGTCGACGCACTCCTCCTCTTTTCTATCTCTACATCCTATATGCCACCACCATATTTTCACCACCACCACCTCTTCTCCTTCTTCGTTCATGAAGATGTGGTTGTTAAATCCACAAAATTGTATGCCTTTGTCGGACTACACCACTACATATCTGTGATTACAATGTAGATTCTCGTATCTTAGATGTTTTGCTATATGCCACACACAAACTAATACATCCAACAGTAGATGTTTTGCTGTCAAGGCTTGCAGTAAGAAACCTGATCAAAACATTCATCTTGAATCTAAGGTAAATTTAACACTATTTTCAGTTTGATTTGCAGGTCTATATAGTTGTATATTGACAATACTATTATGGGAAAAGAACTTAGTTGAAAATTAGCAACTAACAATTCATTTATCATGTTTAATTGCATTGTAGATTAACTTGTGCTCCTTAAATTGCATCATTGAATGCATCCAGTGAGGATATAAAAGAAACAACAATTGGACAACATGCTACCACAGTGGCCTACATTGAGGAGGAGCAGGAGCAGACTGAAATTACTAAAGAGATCTTCCTTGAAGATCTTGAAACTGTTTCTGAAGTACAAATCCCAGGAGTGGTCCCACATTCAGAAGATTCAAACATGAAAGAAGAGTGTCTTACAACAGCAACATTTTCAAGTGAAGAGGTCAGACAGAAAAACGTCCCTACAGTTCACAACATTTTTTCTTGTACTTCTTATGTGCTTTATTGACATACTTTGACATTAGTGGATGCAAAAAAACAGAACAGACAACAGAAATTGGCGAGAACAAATCACTGTATCAATAAAAGGATGTTACACAAGAAAATCAGCTTAATATCACAGAAGACTGCAATGAGATATCAAAGGATGTCATCTTGACTAAAGAGGTGAATAAGATAAATATATAACTACTTAGTTATCTATCAAGTCATCAATGGGGTCTGCTTACATAAATGTTATATAGATTGAACATGTACCTTTAGAGACACAAAAGGAAAAGGGAACATATGACCTCGAAGAACAGATTGTTGAGGAATATAGTAATTCCACAGAGCTACACGAGAAATCAAAAGAAGATCAAAAGGAACCTGTGGTTAGTCTATTAACACCTGGTTTTCAAGGTTTGTTCACATAACAAACCTTAATTCACTTTCAATACTTTTAAATTTTTATGTCTAAAATACCCTTTTGGGATTTTTTTTAGTTCTTTATGGCCCCTTAGTACTTTAGGATGGCCTGATGTCTCTTCAGAGGATTTCAAACACTTCTACCCTACATCATGCCTTGAAACAGGGTATGTAATATGTATTTAGTATTTTTCTACTTCTTTCATTTTTTTATAAAGAAAAACAATAATTTTTTATAACTTTTAAACAGGCATGACAAATTGTTTTTTTTGGGTTGCACGTATGGTGATGATGGGGATTGAGTTCACAGGGAGTGTCCCATTTACACATGTGTATCTACATGGACTTATTTGTGATTCTCAAGCGAGCATAAAACAATTTTTAATAAAAAATCAGCATCTTGAATGATCTGTATATGTTATAACATAATCATTTCTAACTTTATATATATATATATATATATATATATATATATATATAACTAATTCAGGGGCGAAAAATGTCTAAAACATTGGGAAATGTCATAGATCCTTTAGACACCAAAAAAGAATTTTGCATCCAAATCAGGTGTCTATGATTCTGTTTCTTGTGAAAAATAGATATTTATTTTTTGGACATGGACCTATATATAATTTGATTTGGTTTATTGGTTTGTTTTTGGGTGTCCAGACCGAGCTCATATCTGGTGATCAAAATGGGAATATCCATGTATGGGACTTGACTGCAAACAAACTCTTGTAGCTGTGAGCTGGTATGATTTTATTTTTAATTTTCAGCATATATACATTGATTAAGCTGTATGGGTTTAAAGTTTTAACTAAACCCAGGTGCCAGAGGTTGATACAGCAATGAGATCATTGACAGTGATGTGGGATGGAAGCTAAGGAACTTGTTATGTCTGGAGGCTCTTACGTGGGACACAGGTAAATTCACTATTTATTCTCTTTTTTCAACTAATATTGTTTCTTTTTGACTTAATCTGATCTTATGATCTGTGTTATTTACTGCAGATAATGACCAATTTTGAGCCACTTCACAAGCTACAGGCCGCTCAGGATGGTTATATCCTCAAATGTCTCCTATCACCCGAGTTTTGTGAACCTCAGCGGTTACACTTCAGACTTGTTTTGGCTTTATGTTGGGTTGGGTGGATTTTGGACTTGCTGATTGATTGTTGAAATAGGTATTTGGCAATTGCATCCTCTGATAGTACAGTCAAGATATGGAATGTAGATTGTTTTACTTTGGAGAAAACACTAGTTGGTATGTTGTTTATGTTATATTTTACATTACTATATACATACTTACATGTCTTAAACAAATGTTGCATGCTTTTTTTAATTAATATAATAGTAATAATATGATATGTGTGTTTCAGGGCACCAACGATGGGTATGGGATTGGGTGTTTTCTGTAGATGGTGCTTATCTCATTACAGGTGTACATTTGATAAAATTTCCCTCTTTTTGATATAATAATAATAATAATAATAATAATCATTAAAAGTAACACACCTCAAGTCCTCAACTACTCTTATTGATGGTTTGTTTCAGCTTCCTCTGATACAACAGCAAGGCTTTGGTCAATGTCAACTGGTGAAGATATTAGAGTTTATCAGGGACATCAGTTCATGTCCATCCATAAAAACCAGAAGTTACTTTCAATTTCTATTACTTGTTTGAATTACTTGTATGCATGGTTTTGAAAACCAGACCAGACCGGACCGGCTGATTGAACCGGTATGGATACCGGTTTTATAATGGCCAAAATCCAGTGGTTCAACCAAACCGGATTAAACCGTACTGGTCTAACCAAAAAAAAACGGCTCACTAAAAAAAGATAATAATTTTTATACTAAAAGAAAGCAAACTGGACTTTTTTATGCAAATATCATTTTATATTGATCTCTTGTAGAACCTTCACCTCTGCATACAACCACAATTTCAGAAAAAATGCACTCTTAAATTAGTTGATAAACACATGTTATGACAAGCCACCAAGCCTTTGTCAACCTTCCTATAGTATATAACGTAAGTAGATATATTTACCCTTCTAACTTTATTTTTTGTTGTAATCCACATGTTACAACCATTCTTGCATATTCATCTTTGTTTGGGACTTAATCTTTCTGTTTCTCCTCAGATATGGTCACACGATCAACAATGATGTCCTGATTGTTACTGAAACTCTAAATAAGAGAGATGTTCAAGAAATATTAGAGAAATTTCACCCTTTGGGGATGTTTGATAGGTAACCTACCCTTAAAACTCATTTTCTTGATTTTTTTTCTTATTGTATTATTTTTATTTTTTATTTTTCTTAAGTATTGCCATCCTGGCAGTTTCTCAGAATATGCATGAGCTCTATAGACCAGTACATGTGGATACACCACTTGCTGCATACTTTTCAGAGTGCATTACATCAGAGCATTTGGATGATATGCATATTGAGATTATGATAAATACCCTTTACAAGGCATATCTTGAAGATGTCTACTAGTTTTGCCAAGTAAGCATGTACTCGTTATTTCTGAATTTACAAATATCATTTTATATTTTTAGTTCAAAAAAGAATTTTGGAACAGAACTAGGTGGTGCCACTGCAGAAATAATGTCTGACATTTTAGCCTTTGAGGCTAATAAAAGAGTTGTTAATATCACCATAAACAGGTGCTTCCATTTCTTTTAGTCCGACTTTGACACCGTTAATTGATGGATGCTAATTGACAAATTTTCTCTCCATTAATTTGCTATTATGATCATATAGTAAATCTTTTGCAGGTTGATATATGTTATTTTCGACGAGACGGGAACATTGATATATGTTATTTTGATGATGCAGAAACTTAACATGGGAGGTGGTGGAGATTTTGATGAAGATGAAGATGATAGTGATACAGAAGAAGAGATATAGATGAAGAATGAAGAAGAAGAAGAAGAAGCAACTGGTAAAATGGAAACTGCAACTGCACTACCAGTTAGCCATGGAGTTGAGGCAACAGCTTGATTTCAACTATTTCGGTTAGAAGTTTGATCCAACTATTGAACACTATACTTCTAGTAGTTATTGATTCTAGCAAAATCATCTTGAAACATACATAATGTGAAAATCCATTAAAAGAAGATATATTGCATCATCTATCATTACTTGCAATGATGAGGTTAGCTTCTATCTATTCAACAAAGATTAAAAGAAATAAGGAAGCATTACAGATAGATATGCATTAATAGCACATGATTTGGTCTGGGCCAAAACCACAACCCATTTACAACAAAAAGTAGGAAAATGTAGTAAAAATGAGAAATTTAGTACATGATTTGGCTTAATATGATTTTAACCAAATTGTACATATTGAGAATCGATATCACCAAACTCTATGTCACCTCCACCTCCATATAGACATATCATGTAAAAATAAGATGATAACTTAATTTAAAACTAATGATTTTTATGACACTAACCTTAATAACAACATTAAATATAGATAGTAACCTTGATAAAGTTGTTTTTAGTTGTAAATCTCATTTGGTTCTTTTGAACTTCATTTTTTGTTTTGTCCACATTGAAAAACTTCTTTTTCTATCCTGCTGTAGGGCTTCGATTTGGCTAGTTTGAGTGGCAATTTTTTTCAAATTTGCAAGCGTGATTTGACAAATTTCCAAACAAAACTGGTATTTTTCTGCCATGTTGACGGTTTGGGTCTATTTGGATTTTCTTTTTACAATTCTTACAAAACGAAATGACATCTAGTCCTTATTGTTCAAAAAATAAACATTTAACCTTACCGCACATGTACATTTCAGGGGCTCGATGATATTTAATAATAAAAGAAACTGCAATCCATAAGTGTGATGCCCTCACGCCATCTCTTGTATTTATATGTACTCTGGAGTTTCATGAATCGATGCTATCAGAACCAAAATTGGTCTTCCTTGTCTGCCATGTCATTGTATCTACCTTGAAATGCATTTGGTAGGCTATTTCCTATGGCAGTTTTCCGCGTTGTGTGTACAGGTGTACACCTTCTTATTAAATCAGAACCCAATTGATGTCATTTATTTAAGAATGATAAAAATGATTAAAATATTATGTAACATGCATAAATTTCTATTATTTTCAATTTATGCCTGTCATTCAGTCTAAAAGATTCCAACTACCCATTTAATGTCATTCAACACTTTACCCACTTAATAAGGGAAAAAAGACGAAACTACCCATAAGTTAGTCCAAGAATCGAAGCTGAAATTGAGTATATTCTTCATTTATATGTCAGGCACATGCTTACAATTGTTGGAAATGAGGAATTCTACGAGCAGGAAAAGTCATTGCCATTAAAGGACATTAGATTATTGATTGTTATCTTGAGGCAAGTATTTGTTACCATTTCAGGTGATATTTTTCTATATTTTAGCTCATTTTCAGCAGAGAGTGCAAAACGAATTGTTGGTGGTATAGAGCAGTCAATTGCTTCGAGATGATAAGGTATTTAAGGATTTTCACATTTAATGAGCATCTGCATCATGATTCTTATCTAAATAAATTATCATGTTCATTGACAAACATGTGGACGATCTGAAGGAATGACTCTAGTCCAACAAGCTGAAGAGGCTGCAAGTAACAAGGTAATATTCAACCCAACTTTTAATCTTTTTCTTATTAAGACATTGTACTTTGAAAAATCTACCCCTAATTATGCTATTTAATCTACTAGAGTTTTCAAAGTACAATGCTGTAATGGAAATAATTGGAAGTAGAATGCTATATGAGGAAGTATGAATATAATGTGGCGAATTTAATGGTTTTGGAGGTTTATCTTATATGAGGAAGTATGTTCTTTTTAAGAGTTGCCCTTCGTTTTTTTTGTAGCTATCTCATCATCAGGTGGAACTGTATCATCTGTGGAGGTGTGTATATTATGACATTTTTTAAGAGTTGCCCTTCCTTTTTTTTTTGTAGCTTCTCTTACAATGTAATATAGATATTGTGAGCAATGTTTTTATTTTGTAGCTATGTTTTTTTTGCAGGCAATATAGATATTGTGAGCAAGTTCATAGATTTAGAGTCCTTGAGTGGTGTTACTAAGGAAGAGTGGAGACAAGTGAGGCACACATTTAAAAAAATCAGCACAAATCTTGTTTATAGTGAGGCACACATTAGGTTATTAGAACTATTAGTTTGTAAATTTCTGTTACAACTTCTATTGATTTGTTTTATATTTCCATGGAACGATTATTTGTATGACATTAAATTTTATGCAATGGATTGTATTTTTTGTATATAATATTTTATTTTCTATTATGAGACATTAAATGCAAATTTAATTTGAAAATTAGTAAATTTATAAATAATATTTTTTTTAAACATTTAAAATTACGATACGCAAAAATGTATGTCGTCTTCATTTATGACATGGCCTTTCTTGACAAGGGCTTTAATGATGCGCAATGCGCGTCGTAAGGTTACGACACGCAAATGCGTGTCGTCTTCCTTTATGACAGAGCCTTCCTTGATACGCATTGCGTGTCGTAAATGCACATCGTAAATGCGTGTCATAAATGTGTGTCGTAAATGCGCGTCATAAATAGACGACGCGCAAAAGCGTGTCGTCTCTCGTTGTGACAGGGCCTTCCTTGACACGCATTTGTGCGTCGTCTGAGCGTTTTACGACACGCATTGCGCGTCGTAAAAGGCTGTTTTTCTAGTAATGGTTACTTTATTTCATTATAGTTATTAATGAGATTATGTCATATCAAACTCGTTCGGCTAACGACCATCTACCAAACAAAGAAGCGGTGGATGAGAGGTGACACCCATTCAACTACCATTTTATAGGCAGTTTCCTCATACCCCCCTTCCAGTTCAGGTTCGTGAATGAGGCCTACTATTTATTTGACTGACTTTGTCTTATACATATAATATATTAAACTTTTAATTATATATATATATATATATATATATATATATATATATATATATAGTATAAAGTGTATTTTAAAACTTTTTCAAAATAGTAGGTTTAATTTTAATTTTTTCGAAAATTAAAACAAAATTAATTTAAACTAAACCAATTAAGATTTAATCTTTATCTTTTAATTAACAATTAATTAAATTAATTTAAATCATATAAGGATTAAATAATTATTTACTATTAAACTATTAATTAAATAATTTGAATTTAATCTTAATCGTTACCCTTCTAGATTTTCGAAATTTAAGGGTATAAGGATCATCCAATTTTAATTATTCTATTTTAAACAATTAAAACAATAACTATTAATTAAGGAAACCCTAACTAACCCTAGCATATTTCGAAATTAAGGGAGGAGGCTAGGGTTTCAAGAACCCTAGCCAAAATCAAAAATTCCATGTCCTCAGGGTTTACTTTCTATAAACCTTAATTTGATCTATTCAACTATTATGCATATCAATAGAAAACATGTGCTCTGATACCACTGTTGGGATTTACATGTTACAAAAAATCTATTTTTGGCGGAAAAACAAAACCCTAAGTTTGCATACACCCTAAGGATCTATGTTTTCACTATTGAATGCACTAACCAATTGAATATCAAGAACCCTAACTAGAACCCTAGTAATTTCGAAAAACATAAAAAGGGTTTAGAAAAACATACCTTTTGATTATGCTAGTAGATAATCAAATCAAATCCTTCTTGAAGTTGCTTAGAAGCTAGCACTAGAAATCTCGTGTCTCTAATGGTTCACACTCAACCCTAGCAACAAGGAGGCTTAAAGAGAGAGAGGAGAAGGGAGATGGAAATTTTGGCCTTGGCTTTTAGAAAAGTATTGGCCGAAATTTGAAGGCCAAGGGTGCCTTTTATAGCACAACTTGGAAACCTTAGATAACCCTTAAATGAATAAAATAATATTAATTCAAATTGATAATTATCCAGCTTCCTATTTATCTGTAAGGAATATTCCAGATGCCTTGGAATACCCTAAAAACCATTCACCCCCTCCAAGGAAGGTTCTGGAACCTCTCTTGTTTAATTATTGAACAACTGCACTTTAACTCTTGCACTTTTAATTAATCCAATTAATCCCAAAATTAATTCTAGTTAATTTCTGATCAATTCTTAATTAAATATTACTATTTATAATTAATATATTATTTTCATAATATATTAATAAATTCATTTATCACTGTTTATTAATCATATAATAAATCAATAAATCAGTCTCTTTTTCTAAAAGTCATCCTATTCAATTACTAGGTCTGAGGGTAACCAAAAAGACTTTGCTAATAATTCAAGTATATACTAATTCAGTTATTGGCTTAGACACCTAATCCAACAGAGTTTGCACTTGATATTGATGCACAGTAGTTGGCGAAGGAGTTTTAGGACCTTCTCCAAACGATGGAGACTGTGATGGAGATCATCGCCAAGTTTAGGGAGAGGGCTTTGTTGGTTCCGTAGTATGCTATGGATGACGAGATGAAGAAGACAAGATACCATGATATGTTGAGGGATCACATTTGGGAATTTGTGAGTCTGACGAGTTGAAAGACCTTAGAGGATACGATTTCCAAAGCTCGGGAGCAGAAGATTGAGTTGGAGCTTTGGACAAAGAAAAATCCAGTTTCAGTTTAGACAACAGAGGGCTCAACTAAGAAGCCCAAGATTTTCGATTCACGAGCTAAAGGCTACCAGGGTCGGGGCCATTACGGAACGTGCGAGAAACGACACGATTGATGGAAAGTGTCGAGTAGGATGTTTGGGTTGCTTTAAGTATGGCGAGATTGGTCATATCAGTCGGGATTGCCCCCAGGGATCGAGTCTGATTTGTTTTCATTGTAATCAGACAGGCTACAAGAAGGTCGATTGCTCGAGACTGACGAGTGGAGCGGTGAGGTCACCCGCACCAGGTACGTTGAGGATTACTGATGGACACAA